AGTCAGGGGTGGGAGGCAGAAGGGAGGTGTTGGAGGGAAATGGTCCAAAGTGCAGGGATGTGTTGTATCCGAGGGGTGGGTAGATGTCAGAAGGCTTTTAGGCAAGTGGGATGATTGCTTTGGGGGATGTGGTTTCATAGGGTGATGGACAAAAGGGTATAAGGTCAGTGGACAGATTAGGTAGTACTAAACTCGATGGGGAAGGGTAGTGTTTAGATGTTGATGGGTCACAAGGTTCAGCAAAGGATTTTTGTTTAGACAAAGATGGATCGGGGGAGTGTTTATCCCAATGAGTGTAACATTTGGGGCAGCACCCAAAATCCCTTCATTGGAGGACATCTGAGTCTGGTCAGTGAGTTTTCCGACGGGGATAATTCCATGGATTCCGGTAGAGTACCACAAAAAGATCTCAGATTTGGAAAAGGGTCGATTTGGATCTTTATGTTTCTAGTGGGTGATAGGGAAATTCCAATTTCTGCTCGGACAAGTCCAAAAGGATTTGGTTTGACTTTAATTGAAGCTTCCATCAGATCAAGGCGGGAGAGAGTTTAGGGTTTAGGGTCGGAAGTTTCCACTTGAAATTTAAGAACCTTAACCAACATTACTACAATGCTTGCCCCATGATCCCTTCCCATGGGGGTTGGTTAAAAATTTGGAATCTTCCCCTGGACAAATGGGACAATGCGACCCTAAGAATCATTGGAGATGCTTGTGGAGGATACGTTAAAACAACCTTCAACCCCAGTTGATACGAGGACTGAGAAGTTGTTGTCATAATCCATATCAATAGCCAATATGGTGGTGGCCATGATTTAGAATTTGTCCAACATATTTATTGGTAGTTTATGGCAATAACCTAATTTTGATCGCCATAGAGATTACAACATTTCCAGTTCCTACCCATTACCCACTATTTCAAGCATAAAAATAAAAACCAGTAACCCATGGAAATAACAGAAGAGAGAAGAAAAGAAAAAGGAACAAAATCATTTGAGACGGTTAGAATAACGCCCCAAGGCTTGAGGATATTTTCTTACCTCGGGAAGAACTCCAGTCATTTTACTAGATGGCAGACGAGGAAAAAGACCATCTGGAGATCTTTCTACAGTGGTGAAGCAAATATTATATTCCTGCTTGTTTGGGGACAGCAGCGTTCACAAGTGTGGCACACGGATTAAAATTAGAATACTTTGTCCATGCTTAAAATATAACTAAAGGAGTTGACAAACATTTAACTGGAATAACAGACTAACCTGAATGATGGAAGGGTACAGACTATTGAAGTCCAGAAGTAATATATATTTATCATATAAACCTCGTTTTGGCTCCAAGACTAGCCCACCTGCATAGGAGGATCCCTTTTTGCCTTTTCCACTTTCAGTATTGGGAGCAAATTCTACATTTACATAATCTAAATCAAATTCATAAACATGTTTTTCCTCATAACCATGAACCCTTCTCTTTTTTACCATCTTTTTTTCCTTCATATAAGATGAAGTCTTGTCGGGAACAATATACTTTTTGGCATGGAATGCATGAAGTAAGAGATACTCTACTCTCTGGGCTCTAGCACCCTGAAAAAGTACGTATATCACATTTAGACAGGTAAAACTCTCCTTATAACTTCATAGTTGAATTGTGGGATGAGATTAAGATGAAATATGCCAATGAGGCTTACCTGTAGACTTCTTCCCCAGAGATTACCACTGATATTAGTCAGCTGACGAGTTAGAGGAAGAACATTTAGATGAAACATGAGTTCCAATGACAACCATGCATCTGTCTCGCCATATTCAATCTGATATATTAAATCATCACGAGAATAATGTAGTCAATACTTAAATAAAAGAATGGGTTCCAATGATAACTATGCATTTGTCTCACCATATTAAATCTGAGAGGTTAAAACATCTTGAGAATAATGCAGTTAAAATAAAATTTGAAGATCCAAATAGTGTGACAGACTTCAACTTTTAGTTTACCATTGGTGCAAAAAGTTAAATAGTTTAAGAAACTTGACCTAACATCCTTTTTGTAGCTGACATTCATTGTTGCAATCTTTATTCATTGTTGTAATCTTTTATCTAATTACATGAGGGTACACATATAATAATAAAAAGTTAACTATTGCAGATATTGAAGAAAACCATAAGATACAAAACGAGAATGTTTTCTCCACTTTCATCTATTTCAGGCACAAGTTCACAGTGTCAAGACTTTGAGCATTAATAATGTTTCTGCAGCATAGGTAAATTTGAACTCGTGTCTATGAGTCTGAGTTAAGGGGTTAAAAATCCTCTGCTGATAATATTTTAGGCTATGGAATATTCTACCATGTTCAAGCCATTGATTAATAAAAATAACTGAAGTACTTATATGGAAGAAGGTATGAGGCCACAATCATTGACAGACTAGCTAGCATATCCCTGATGACTTCACTAATATTTTTAAACATAATGCAAGAGAACTATAACACTATCATCACTTCGAGACCATATAACCTATCACCTCTTCAGAACAAAATATTTACTACTATTTTATTCAAATTGTAATAAGTGAGAAAAAGTACGATACTTTTAGCACCAAAATGTAGGATATAGAATCGTCAACACACCAGGTCCATGAGAGACTCTGATGCTTGGAACATTCTTGGAATATCATGTGGAGTAACCTCCTTACGGTCCTTATTAAGCTGAGTCTTTGATAGCTCTATCAAAGAATAGCTAATCTGGAAGAAGAGAAGTAAGACTTCAAAACCCAAATGATTAAGTGACACTAATATATTTTCAACACAAATAGTATACCTCTTTCAATAGGTCACGGGAAGATAAGTATGTATCACATAAAAGTCGACCAGCAATGCAAGCCATGACTCCTGAACTTGCTCCAGACCCAAAAATGCTCCCTCCTTTTCCAAGTTTAGGCATAACAGACCGCTTAAGGTGACCTATTTTGGACCACGTGCTGCTTGGTACTCGGCAAAACTGTAATATAATAGAGAAACTTCTAAGTAAAATTGCATATCTTTTCATTAGTCATTTAGTCACCAAGGCAACAAGGAACCACATCTAAGAAGTAGCATACTTCCATGAGATCATCTAAGGAGCAGTGTATGACAATTATTATGTATGAATAATCCACGTACTAAAATTAGATGCATAATGAAAAGCATTTACTTTGAAATAGTTTGGGGGTGAAACACTCACTTTGGAGTAGTTTCATAGACTACTTGAAGAAATTAAGGTTAATAGATTAGTATTAATCAAAGTGAAAAGAAAAGGAAAACACCAATGGAAACAGAGAGTTAGACAATGTAATTTCTGGAGTAAATAACAATAAAAGGAAGCTTGAAAGATTCTTAGCAAGGTGTAAAAGTGACTATTACATAGTTCTTGCTTGGTTTTCAAAGATTCGTCGAGCAAGTGAAGTGAATACCCCTTTTTGTGGTAGCAAAGGCAAGAACCTTTCATTTCTTGAGGTTGTTGAAGCTTTCTTTAGGGGTTTATTGATCAGGAAGCTCACGTCGAAAGGCAAAAGAGTTCTTCAAAAAGGAACATCTAATGTTTTAAATCGTGTCATGGATCATGGTTGCCATCTTTTCTTTTCTTCTTCTTTTCTACTTCTGCTTTTTTACTTTTTTTCTTCATCGTGGTTGGAGTGTTAAGTTTGTTGGGATGGGGATTGCATGTTATGTTCACATTCTTACTTGTGGGGTCTTGGAGACGTTTCTTTACACATCAAGGGGTTGTGGCTACGTAATGATGGTTCTAACTTTTAACAATTTCATTGAAAAGATTTGTTTTGAAAAAAAGAGAGAGAGAGATTTACTTGTTACTTTGATCATATCAATTACTTGATAATTCTACCTGGGCTCGATGGAGAAGAACATCTATGTCAAATCCAGAGATATTGTGTCCAACCAGCACATCACTATCCAATTTGTATAATTTACTCATTAATTCATCCAACAAGGCCCTTTCACTGCAAGAGGACAGTTGTAATTAAACCTTAATAACACTATTAATATTATAATTTTTCAATAAAAACAGAGGTTTTCTACAAGGAACAGAATACAATTTCAGGACAGTACTAATGAATAACCTCTCGCAGATTAAAACATTTGATCCAGCCTTCTTAAATCCCATAGGAAATATGCCTCCATCAAGCTTACGGATGATAGTAAAATGTCTAAGCATACCAGGTTTTTTCCATTCTGTGGCCGGCATGGGACCGTCAATCTGAAATGTCAAGCAGTAGCTGATGTTAGAAAAATTAATAAAGCAAAATAATCTCTCTTTACTTTGTTAAATCTCTGTATACTTAAGAGTTAAAACAAGCTAATAATTGTTTTTAAAAATGACCAATACTTTAGCTACAGTTTTAACTACAGAAGATAGACTTCCAAGCATATGAGCAGTCGCCTAGCTACAATTCCTCATCTCATTCATTCTTAAATTGACTTCACTAACAAAGCTCGATTGTACGCATCCAAGTATCAAATTCATACCATAATCCTTACTCTGGCATAAAGATAATTATAAAAAAAATTGTAAAGATTTAGCAATTGAACTAAAAGTATACTTCCTATCAAGTAGACCATGATCCTCTAGGACATATAAATATTGTAACTCGTATCGAGTAAATTACCCATCAGTGGTCAACATTCTTGTAAGCTGATTGGAAATTCTGACTCACATTTTCAAATAAAACAAAAAAAATGATTGTCACATCAGCAGAAACATGAAAAAAAGAGTTAACAGCATTGACAAAAGTTAATAACTAACCTTTGCTCTTTGACAGCATATAACAGATGCAGACACAATTTCATTGACATTCTGATTTTCATTAATGATGGTCTTTATATTTATTGCACTGACAATCATAGAAGGAACCTCCAAAGTTTTACTTGACGAAGTTGAAATTTGAACATTTTTTGGAGAGTAAACTGTCACCTCAAACTTGCACCAGCTCACCTTCATAAGAATATTACCATAGTATTAGCATTTATAACAGTGTGAAAATAAAAGCTTCCTATGAGTCAAATAAACTGCGATAGGATTAAGCAATCTTACTTGTTGAGAATCAGGACAGGAAGAAAATTTTGAAATTGACAACCAGGAGGGGCCCTTTATTTTCCTTTTAATGAGGAGAAGCTCCAAGGCACTGTATGCATTAACATGTTAAATTATCACTGCTTCATCAAAAAAAGTATTCTGAACGCACATGATCATATAGTTGATAGAAAACATATTACTTAAAAACACTACAACTAAGAGTAACAATTTAGGATATTAACCTCAATGTCTTTCTTTATTAAATTCTTAGGCTTCTTCGAAAGAACTTTAGCTTTTAGAATAAGTTAGGCAATAAAATCCAAGAATGTTTGGATAAGAACTGGAAAATTCCCATAAGGAGAAACACAAAGTGCACTGGCTTTTGCCAGCCAGTTCCAAGTTCTCATTCTATTTATGAAGTACAAGTTACACCCCATCACCAAAGTCAGTCAGGTGTCAAGATCTAAATATTAAGAAAACATGCAAAACATATCTAACATAGGCTATAAGCAAGAAGATTTTCCTGTTTGGCATTTGCTTTGCATATTGCAGAAAGTTTAAATGCTTTGATATTTGAATGGAGGACAGGAAAACTAAAAGTAGAATGTAAAAAAAGATGTGTAATATGCCAGGAAAGGTGAAAGGACCATTCCAAGATATTTATACCTGCGATGCGTTCCTAAGAGGGCACAAAATGATTCTCCTTTTAGATCAGTAGGAAGTGGGGGATGCTATCACAAGTTTAACCAACCATCGTCAATAATTTCAAAATGGGGTAACAATAAATATATAAATAAAGAATAAAAACAAAACTAAGAGACGTGTGCCTCCATAAGGCAACTTTAAGAACTTTAACCTCCTAAGAAGTATGATCTGAAAATTTTGGTGTTCAAGATCTCATTGTACTAAAAAACAGAAAAGTGAAAATCATAATTCAAATTGCAAATATCATTCGTGTGTCAAGTATTATACCTTAAATGGGTAACTGATCTTAATCACATAATTTTCTCTCGCAGGTATGTCACGACGCTCAAATGCATATTTCCTCTGTGATGAGAATTTAAGAAGAATACTGATGTACTCAAGTATACATAATAAACTGGTAGTTTAAATATAAATAATATTTGACATGGTACAGCTGCATTAAGACTAATACAAAATAAACAAAAAGGTAATTTGCAAACCTTAACTGGAGTCATGCTAAATGTTGAAACATTGAGATCTAGTAACTGCTTAGCTATTTCGTTTTTTAGTCTAGTGGTCACTTCCTAAGAGAAGAAAGTACATAAAAACACATTAATAGAAGCATGCAAGATAAATGATGCTTTTAGAGAAAAGAAAGGATGACAAGCATAACAAGCACAACATACTCAGGTACAAGAGTGGATAAACTTACTTGCAACTTTGTATGCAGATCTGCAGGAGAAAGATGGGAGTGTTCAGCATCATTTTGAAGGTTCAACACCTCATCCGAATGAAGAAAAGAGGCAATTGGAATAGCATATACACATCTTTGCATGTTTTTTACCACCACACAACAACTATGGTACGTATCTCCAGCTTTGACCTAATTACAAGATGATACGTGACCAAAGTCAACCAAGAAGATCACTCCTTTTATCTGGATTTAGTTCTAATTGGTATCAAAGATAATAGAGAGTGGAAGAAAGAAAAAAAGGGAAAGAAAAATGTCTAAGTACCTAGAGGTAGACTGTATATTGACTTCAAAGGTTTCAATGATAAAAAGATGTGAATGTTCAGCAGCACAAGAGATCAAATAGAGGGATGTCACAAATTATATGTTTTATGAACTAATAAGAATTTAACAATTTAATAGTTATGAATGACAATCTAAAAGTCTTGAAATTCCACCACCTTCCCTTCAAACATTCATTGGGATTGCACGGGACATTATAGAACAGCCAGAATACAAACAAGTTTAGCATAATACCAAAGCACCAAATCTAGCTAAGCAGCGTGCTTGCCTAGTAAAATAGAACAAAGAGCATTGTTATAAAAAGAATGATCAGTTAATTTTTTTCATTGATCCATACAACATCAAATAGTGTGATTTTGCAAATGTTCGAATAATTATAGCGCAATTGATGGGGAAATGATTAGTAACACCTTGCCAAATAGATATACAGTGCCCGAATTCGCACCGAAGAGCTCCTCATACGCATCGATTATATAGAAAGGAAGAGAGCCGTCTGTGTCAATATCAATATTGAATTTCTCTTCAGAAATTTCTCCAGCAGAATCAACATTTTCGCTCCCTTCGCTCCTCACTGCTCGCCAACCCGCAGCAGCACTCAAAGCCGGGTTGTTTTCTTCATTAATCTTAGCATTCAGCGCACAAACCGGCTCCTTCTTCAATAATGATTCCGCCTATGTTTCAACCATAATAGGCATATTATCTTCAATTACATCTTCCTTAATCGAAAAACTATGTGATTTCACAATCGGATCCAGACTTATTTGAAAATCTAAATCCTGCATGTCCTCAAAGTTCCCATTTGCAGTATCCTTAATCAATTCATATCCACCGATCAAATTAAGACTCGGCGCAGTTAATCCCTCGCACTTCACAGCAGGAATAGGCGCACAAGTCCTCGGCATAGCTCCGATTCTTCCCTTTCTACGCTTCTCTCTGTCAGTCTCATCCGGCGCAAATTCGGCAATTACATCATCGACGATACTGTCACAAGCTGAACCTTTAGCCTTATCGTCTCTACTCGTTTTCCTGAAGATCGACGAAGTGAACATCGAAGAAAGCTTTCGTTTCCCCATCATTGACCTCGACGGCGATGATGTTAACTTGGATTTTGTTGGTGCGAATAAGTTTGCAGAATCTGAGACCGTTTGATTTGGGAAAATGTGGCGGGAAATTCTTCACTCTCTGAAAACCGCTGCCTCTGCTGATAACTTTTGAAAGAAAGAGATGAAATTTTTTTAAAAAGTTAGAGAGAATTGGTGGTTTATTTATAGAAGGTGAATCTTTTAATATTTTATATATTAAATTTTTATACGATAGGATTCTTTGTTCGAATTTCTTAATATATGTTATATATTAATAGATATAATCCTCAAGTGTAATTCACCCTTCAAATTACAACTAAGTTAAAACTCTATTTTACCACTGTGATTATATATTAAATTTTAACTACCATTCAACCATAAATTAAGTCCTCTCGTACTAATGAAAATATCGAGCCCCACTTATCAATTATTAAATTATTACTATATAAATATATTTGAACACATGAACGTGTTATTCAAAATTCAACTTGACTTAGGAAATTCAACTTATCCATCAGCAAAATTCAAATATTTTTATTTCTTGGGAGTAACATAACATGTCCACATACTCAAATATGTTAATAAAATAATAATATATAACACATAAGTTTATATTAACAAACTATTTATGGATCATCTCGTGATCTTAACACAATATTGAAGTTTTCTTCCATTCGATCGCAATAGTGCATCAGTATCTTTGGACAAAACCATGATATGGTTTAAGATTATGGTGTTTTAATTCTTTCGATAACTTTAAGCAAGAACTCATTTGGTAATACGATCACATTATGAATATCGCGATCTTTATTTTTTTAGTATAATCACGATAGGGTTTATATCACGGTGTTCGTCCTCATATCATGTTACATCATGATTACTGTGATATGAAACTCTATCGCGATAATGACCGTCCAATATTTCATTAATCCATAAACACTAAACACAACCTGTGTTCAGTTGTATGAGTCGATTCATTCTCTCATAATGTGCAAAAATGATCTTTGTTTATGCTAAAAACAATTAAATCTAAAAAAATGATGGGTCGGTTTCACTCACATAATAGGATTTAAGTCAAATTGATCTAATATCTGTGTAACATTATTTATTTTCCAACTCTCGTATTTGCCACACCAACCACCATACAAACCTAGTCCATCTTTTCCTTAGAGATTTAGCAAAATTGTTAGTAGATAGACTATTAAAACCTATTTGTTAGAACTCAATGGCAAAAAATATACGATTTTGAAACCTATGGACCAAACGAACTTATAGTTGAACACTAAAACTGAACAGTTAAATTATATACATGACATGGAACTGTGGAACAAACCATGATCAGCTTCTCACTTTCATCTACAGTAACTAAAATTTCACCATCTCCAAAACTTTTCCTAAAAACTATTTTTCCCTCTGCTCTACCACAAAAAATTAGTCTCTAGACCTCACCTCACCTAACTGTGACCCAACTATCCGAAACAGACCAATCCAAAGGCTTCTCGGTCACCAGCCGCCGCAGCCTACTCATCGTCTCCGGCGAGACAGTAGAAGAACAAAAATAGGAATCATCGGAAGGTTGATCGGAACACGTCGGCAACGATTCCGGGAAATCGAAAGGACCGGTCGGCGACTCCATCGGTGGTTCGGCCTCCTTTAATGTAACAGTAATGCCGGCGACAAATGGGTGATTCAGAAGCATCTCCGCCGTCCATCTCTTCCTCGGATCCTTTACGAAACACCGCCGGAGAAAATCTCTCCCCTCGTCGGACAAATTTTCCGGCAGTTCCGGAACTTCGTCTCCAACTCCTATTCTCATCATCAGCCCGAAAATGTCGGTTTCCGGCCGAACATTCCACGCCGGTTTCCCGGCCACCATCTCCACGACCGCGCAACCCAGCGCCCAAATATCACACGGCGGTTCATACTCGCCGCCGGTCACAGTCTCCGGCGACATAGACATCGGAGTCCCTCTCCATTCAAACCTCTGCTCTGTTTCCGCTGCCGTCTTCTTTCCGGCCACTTTGGCAAGCCCAAAATCAGCAATCTTCACATCGCCATTGCCAAAATTCAACACATTCGCAAGCTTCAAATCGCAGTGAACAAACCCATTGCCGTGAACATGCCGGAGCCCCCGAAGAATCGCCGCCGTGTATCTTCTAACATCGAATTCCGGCAGCCCGCCGCCGTGGATTTTGACAGAATCAGCAAGACTTCCGCCATTGGCGTACTCCAACAACACATTATAATACTTCTCCCCATCTCTTTCAATGGTGAATCCATCGCCAAAACAAGAAACGATTTGTGGGCAATTCCCAATTCGGTCCAAAATTTGCTTCTCGTTCTTCAGCGAAACGGAAACAGAGGATGCAGCTACAGAGGACTTGACCGCCATTAATGGGGGAAACTGATCGAACCCCTTTGTGGGTATTGCTAAATTGATCGTCGCGAAATTGCCGCGGCCCAGTTCTTCCCCTCGAACCCATTCCAACTCCATGGATGAAACTCGAAGAGTGATGTTTTCTTCTTCTTTTTCTGTTCTGTTTTGGGTTTCTTGGCGAACAAGGTAAAATTGGGAAGGAGTTCTGGAAATTATTAGTGTTCAGAAAATTGCTTCCATAGATAAAACAAAGCTTAAGCCGAAGATCGTTTTAATATATGGAAAGGATTTTGAGAAATAATCATGGCAGATGATCGTCAAGCGAGATTTTAGGCCGTTGCCATTTAAGTTTCCTTATCTTTTATGAAATATACGAATTTAAATTGGGATTAAATTTTTTAATATGATTTCATATTCTAAACGAATTCTAATTTCTACCCATCTATCTATATCTTTTAATAGATTAGAAATTTTTTATTTTAAATTTTATCATTCTATCCTTTTGTTTCTATCTTTAAAGTTTAAAAAATATTGAATTACAAATTATTCGGCATGATTTTAATTTCATTTCCATGATTTTAAAATTTTTAATTTAATTCATGGAGTTTAATTAAATTTCAAAAATTATCTTTACACGACAATGAGCTAATGTTCTCTAGGTAGTTCATTGTGTTAGCCGACTAAATTAAGGTTTTATGTTGGAGTGAAAAAATATAATGAAAGGAGTGAGCTTTTTTAGGTTGATAAAAGATAGTTTAGGAATGATATATGAGGTCTAACCAAACTATGGATACGAAATAAAAGTTTATGGGTCTAATCAAACTATAGATACCAAAACCAATACGTAAGGACTAAATTGAAACTTTTAAAATTAGAACTACATCGGTGTCAAAAAGAAAAAAAACATCTATAACTTAAACTATTAAAAATCAAAATATTTAAAATACAATCCATCATTTGAATGGTAAACGAGAAAAGACTTTAAAATTTCTTTTCATTTTTTTATATATGTGAGTTTTCGAATCAGCTTACGCAAACCTCGACTAATCTTACTGGCAACTGCCTAACCCTATAACATTTGGTGTCGGAACACATAGGATAGGAATTACTAATTCCTAATATGGTGGACATCGTGAAATTTGAAATCATTATCTCTTAATTAATCCTAGTCCCTTTAGACCAATAAACTATAAGAATAATGAAAAAAAAATTCATTTCATCATCTTTCTTTTTTCAATTCGTTCAAATAGAAGAAGATTGTACTATGCCTCATGAGGATGACCAACCAATTCAACATGAGGAAGATCATCCTACGCTCCACGTTGAAGTTTCCAATTGTGAGGTCATTACACAAGTTGTGGAAACCAGCAAAGAAAGTGTGGAAATCTCTATTGATCCATGTTAATTAGAGACCGAAAGTGACAAAAGTGAGAAGTATGAGACAAACATAATAGAGGAACATATGGAGATTTATATTGCAAATAGTTCGGTTACAAGAATTTGTGCGGATTGAATCGTTGTGCTTTCAAAACGACACATACAAGAACTTCTAAATGCAAGGACTTGCTTTCTAATGGGTGCACTTAAACCAATTGTGCCAAGTTTTTCTTTTGAGTTTTTGCAGGGTGTTAAGATGCTTATTGAAAAGCTAGATCTAAAGATTGCTTCTCAAATGAGGAAATACCGTTCACATGTGAAGTACGAGACCAGGGGGCTATATAAGAAACATTGTTTCAACTTCACTTCCAAATACATCCATGACCAGAACTCCAAAGTAAAGGGTGATCCAAAAGAGTAAGATCATGGGATGCACATGACTTCAAATTTGCCTTACAAGGAGATCCTTTAGATTCGATGACGAATCCTTTCCAAGCGGGGGAGAATGATATGAATCTTCTACATATTCAAATCAAATACAAGTCAACTCAAGCTTCATTCAAGACAAAGGCATCAATTATGGATTTCAAGTTCATGCTACATTAAATGAGGCTTCATTTGATCCTTTATGGTTACAAAACTCTTGATTTGCTTATTTGATCTTTAATTTTCAGATTTATGGTGTATTTTTAAGTATTTTCAGGTTTAAGACTTTTCATTTACTTTTTAGGTTACAATTAGTTAATGGTTGTTTATGTCAATCGATGAACTTAAGTGTTCCAATCCTTCAAATGCCCATATGTTACTTTAGGTCTGTTTTGGTGGCTATATATAGCCATGTATGTCATGTTATAGAATATAGAATTGAGATGTAATGAAATGAAATGAGCTTTTGACCCTTTCTTTTAGCCAAGAGCTAATGTATTTTGTAATATAGTGATAGTTTGCATGTTTAGGATTATTCAAGTGACACTTGATCTATCTTGCTTGTGGAGTGATTCGGATCTCAAACAAGGAGCGGGTTTTTTTGCCTTGAGATATTTGATGATCAAGGTAATCCGATTTTTACTTTCTTTGGGTTGATTCCTTAATCGGTTTCGGGGTTTTTGGGATTGTATTCTATGGATCTTGTTCATTAACAAGGTTCTTAGATCCAACTCTCAAGGGTTCTTAACATGTCCTATCTATCTTATCTTTTATTTAAGCCTAAGCTTGAAATAATAAATCAAAATTTCTCCTGTCTTATAGAATTTGTTTGTGCAAGAAATTGATTTAGAAATAATTTACTAAAAGTTAAAATATTTTTTTATTAATTTCTACTTATTTTTAACACCAATAAAAAATAATAAAATTAAAGAAAAAACTAAAAAAAATATTACATATATTTTATATTAAATTTAAATTATAATACTGCAATTTGATGTTTAGACCTGTGGATCATAGCAGAGGGGCTCTAGTACAAGTTGCTATTATATAATTTCTTTATCGACTGCACAAGCACGACCTATATACTAATTATTTTATCCAAAAAAAACATATATACTAATTCAATATTTTTCACAAGTTACATCATTAAAATAAATAAAAAATCTCATATAATGTAACAACTCGTGTATGTATTGCTTTATATTTTCCGCTCATTTTTACGAGTTTCTCTTAGATATTCTTTTAAAAAATGAAGGTCCATAATCTTAATAACCTAATCTTAGACCATATTGAATGTGATCCAATAGAATATGTTAGTAACTTCTTTTTTAGTATAGCATATGAGGTGGGGGATCAAATTTACAATTTCTTAATTTGAGATATATGTCAATTATCACTCAGCTATGTTCTGTTTTGACCAAAATGTGTTAGCAACTATTTATTCTTTGTGAAAATTCTTTATTCTTGAATCCAAAAACCCATGAACCTTATTGTAACAAAAGTGTGTGTATATATATATTTATAAATTATAAACTATATTGTACAAATTCCTACACCACTAAGTAATATCTGACTCTGATGCTTTAAATCAGCACCGTCGAATCAGCTGACTACTCATTTACAGAAATTAAAACAAAATAAAACAGAGCCCAATTGTGAATTAAAAAAAAGAAATTATCAATTGAATCAGGACCGTCCGATGCGTTGAAGATCTTCCAAAAACTTCTTCAACTTTCACCTTCTGACTGCTCCCTCTGCTCTGCCACAAAATTTGATCACCTCACCTCACTGTCACCCAACTATCCGAAACCGACCAATCCAGTGGCTTCTCCGTCACCAGCCGCCGGATCGTACTCATCGCCGGTGCAAAATCCAACCCCGAATCAATCGCCGGCGTGAAACACCGCTCGTCGGAGCTTAACGGCAGCGAACCAAATTCCGGGAAATCGAACGGACCACGAGGGGACGCCGCCGGCGGTTCTGTCTCCTTCAATGTAACAGTATCGCCGCCTCCGACGACGAACGGGTGATTCAAAAGCATCTCCGCCGTCCATCTCTTCGTCGGATCCTTGATGAAACACTTTCGGAGAAAATCTTTCCCGTCGTCCGACAAATTCTCCGGCGGGTCGGGCACTTCGTCTCCGGCTCCGATTCGCATCATTAGCCCGAAGATGTCCGTTTCCGGCTTACAATTCCACGCCGGCTTTCCGGCCACCATCTCCACGACGGCGCAACCCAGCGCCCAGATATCACACGGCGGCTCATACACGCCGCTGTTCACAGATTCCGGCGACATATACAGAGGAGTCCCTCTCCACTCAAATTTCTGCTCTGTTTCCGCCGCCGCCTTCTTCGCCAGCCCGAAATCAGCGATCTTCGCGCCGCCATTGCTAAACGTCAATATATTCGCAAGCTTTATATCGCAGTGAACAAACCCATTTTCGTGGATAAATCTCAGGCCATTAAGAACCGCCGCCATGTAGCTCTGAACATCGAATTCCGGCAACCCGCCGCCGTGGGCTTTGACTTTATCTGCAAGGCTTCCGCCATTGGCGTACTCCAAGAACAGATTGTAATGCTTCTGCCCGTCCCTTTCAATGGTGTAGCCATCGCCAAAACAGGTAAGAATTTGTGGGCAACTTCCAATTTGATCAAAAATTTGCTTCTCGTTCTTCAGCGAAACAGAGGAGCTGGCCGGCGAGGTCTTCACCGCCATTAATGGCGGAAATTGATCGAACTCCTTTGTGAGAATCGCTAAATTGATTGTTGCGAAGTTGCCGGAGCCCAATTGATCTCCTCTGATCCACTCCATTGATGGAAATTCGAAGCTCCAATCTCACAATCCCCAAGTCTGAAATTCCTCCGGCGAATTCGATTTCTCTGTTTAATTTGGTAACTGGGAAGAAGAAAAGAAACAGAGTTCGAAGTTGAATTGATTCCCGAGTTCTAAAATTTGCTTTTATAGAGGAAACAAGATGGGGATTTTTTCATTTTTAAATTACTTTTTCCATTTGGGTTTTGCAAAATGGAAAGTATTTTGTGCAATAATTAAAGCACATGATGAGCAAGCGAAATTTTTGGTCGCGATTTGGCTTTTTTTCCCTGAATTTAATTGTCTGAAATTCACAGTTCACACGCGGTTTAAGTTTCCTAATATTGTCTTCATTTTCAATTTTTTTTATTCAATTCACATTTAAAGTTCCCATAACATTGTATTTGTGTAAAAAGATTTTGGTGCATGAAATTAATATTTTTAATGGGTCTCGTGGTAAACAATTATAATATTTCTTTTATGTTGTGGGTGAGATTAAAAAAAAAAAGAAAAAAAGAAAAAAAAGAAAATTCCTATTTTAGGTTACATTTGACTAAGAAAACATCAAAAATTACAAAATTCAAAATAAAACATTTGAAAACCTAGAAATAAATATAGATTGGTTCATAATAGGAATTATGTATGCTTTTTTATTTTTTATTTTATGCACCTCACGTTTTTAATCTTTTTAAAAAATATATTATTTTATTTTATGCACATCATGAATAAAAATGTGTCTATATCTTTTTAATAATTTCAAAATATTTAAAAGTAACAAATTTTATAATCATCAATTGATTAACAATATTAGAAAAGTCAGAGATTGGACCAACAGATGTGAATCCTCATTTATTTGTGAGTCATTATTTATGCAATTCAAATAGTAATTAAACCATGCCCTATTACTTGTAAAGATCTTGAGAAGTGGTCCATAATTTCTATTTAAAATAAAATTGCATTAGACCAATTGTATACTTAAAATGTTGGAATCCCACCTCCCACATTTGTAACATTAATATTCTTTACGATAAAGTGATGTTTTGGTTTCTACGCTTACAACTTTTATTTATCTGTACTTTTAAAATATTAATTTTAGTTCTCATTGTTGGAAATATTAAATAAACCCTAATTCATGATTATTCTAAAACAAAAGCCATAAAATTCTAGAACAATCAAGGCCAAGGATAAACCAAAATCTATAAAGAGATTAGAATTACCTGAAACCATTAGATATATTGACCACGATCTGTAAGAAGTTGTGGTTTGTGGTCTTCCTCAACTATGCAACCCATATGGGCAATAGGGAAGCTCAAGAGGTGTATTGGGGACCATAACCATATATTTATAGGTTAATCCTAGGGTTTCTCATAATCCCTTAGAATTAATGGGCTGGTTTCTACTCAACAAGCCACACCACTAAATGGGAAGTCATGGGCCAAGATCACATGCCTATTAAATAGCCCAAATATAATTGCTCTTTAATTTGTTACCCAACACTCATATTTTCAACTTCTATCTATTTTACTTCATGTATTTTTTAGACGTTTGTTTTGGTTCCTGCATTTTTAAAAAGTGACTATTTTGGCCTTTCATTTGGATTTTTTATCTCGTTTTTTAATCACAATTTCAACATGACATTATATTCAATATATTTATTAAAATGTAGTCATAACTTTATATTAAATGGTACCTAAAATTTGTGTTAAAACTTCATAAACAGGGACCAAAATGGTTGCTTTCTTAAAAGTACAGGAACCAAAATGAACCAATTTTAAAATCACATGGACTAAAATGAATCAAAGATAAATATACATAAATCAAAACGAACTAAAGTTGGAAGTACGAACACATAAAAAAATAAAATAATATTTTGATTTTTGACCTATTTTTCATTTAAAATATTTGCGAATGGAATTTTGATTGACAACCATATTCAATCTTATATATGAAAAACAATTTTTTTAAAAAAATGATTGGAGGTCACTTTTTTGAGAAAAAGAAAAAAAGAAGTGAAAACTAGTTGGGCAATTGCACCCTAATATGTGGAAATATGTTGGCAAAATTTAGGTAATCCCATTTATCTAGAAAATGTTATTTTGGATAAACATTCATTTAATTTTAAGCAATTGTCAGAAATCCAGAGCCCATGTCCCAAGAAAAGGGACACTCACCATCTACACTGCCCACTGGTTTCAGTTTCAATTTCAGTTTCAGCCTTTTTTTTTTTTTTTATTCCTTTCTTTATAAATAATCAACCAAACCAACCTGTTTTCTCATTTTCATACCCTTCACCCTCTCCATAATATTCTCTCTCTGTAAACATCAAAAGATGGTGAATTTTAGGAATGTAAAAAAAAAAAAACACCATAATCTGAAAAAATCGATCGATCCAACTCAATTCATTCAGTTTGGCTTAGGTTAAGTCGGTTTAAAGTTTATTCAAAGTAAATTTAGATTGAATTTCATCAACGTGAACTTATGATTAATTTTAAAACTATTTATCTTATTCGCTATAAAAATTATATATAGTTATATTTTATTTTAATTTTATTCCATTCAATAATTTTTTTTATAGATTATTTATTCTACCACGGCTTTTAAAAAAAACAATTTTTTAAGTTTTTGGTGTGTATTTCTTGATATATAAATAAATATTTAAGATATTATTATTTACTTTTTTTATTGTACAATACTTTGAATGGATGACCCGGATAATTAAAACCATATTTAGGTTGGGTTTAGTTTATTATTTAATAAGGGTGTTGTTTGGAACAATTGAGTTTGGTCTAAAAATTACCTTTTAACTCAATCCACCAACACTCCCTAATGAATGTCTCTTGTAAGAAAGAGAACACATTTTACATTGCATTAAGCAAACTTCTCAACCACAAGTCTCGAATTTTTATAATGACATGATAATGTCTATTTTGGAATTGAAATGTTGGAGAATAAAAAATTCCTCGTTATTTTTATTCTAGATTGAAGGGACAATTCAAGAGATTATAATTATTTGGAACCACATGTAGATTGATTATAAGTTACAAGAAATTTGTGGTTGGTAGTCTTCCTAAACTATGTAATTCGAATCGAATATGAACAATTCTCTCTATGTGATGGAAAATAGGAGACTAAAGCGGCATAGTTATATGTTAATCCTAGGATTTTCCATAATCTCGTAAGATTAACAAACTAGTTTTTACTCAACAGGTCACATCAAAGTCGTGAGTCCACAATTAACACCACTCGATATACCCACCAAAGTATAACTGCTCTTTAATTTCTTACTCACATACGAACTAATTATTAAATTAATTCCTACATTAAATTAATCACGTCAATTTATTTTTTTAATTTCACTCAAAATACTTCATGTCAATAGAGATGTTGTATTTTTTACTTATATATTATGGATCTCCTATCGGCCATAATCCTAATAAAATTGCGATGGAAGACACTTTTCTTTTTTCTATTTTCACATATTTTTCATTTCAATTTTAAAATTACATGGGTAAGTTATCTAGATTTTTAAAAAGATGATCAAATGTTCCATCAAAATTAGGTTTATAAAGTTGTGAGTTAGGGTATTTTAATAACTCAACGTGACTAGGTTGTGTTGAATTGACATCGTTTATTCTTGTGCCATCAGTCTATTACATAGCTAAGAAATACCTAAATTAATTAGGTAGAGATTAAGTTTTTCTATATATATTTTTTATTTTTTGAGCTCTTCATTTTAGAAGTTGTCTAAATTAATTGTATGGATAGAATTTTTATTCCTTTTATCTAGATCATGTCTAAATTACTAAAATGTATAGATGGAATCAATTAGTAGGATCATCTCGATTCTCCTAAAAACGGATAATCTCATCCCTCTCTTGAAATTTCAGTCTCACAACCTTTCCACTTTTATTATTTCTCTCGTAATAGCATTCATAACTTTTTAATTAATTATTTTACAATTTTACTTTCATAATTTTTTAATTAATTATTTCACAAATTTACTCTCTTTTTTGTTTGTAATACTAATAAATTTTCTTTTAATATAAAATTATGCAACATTGATTAGTTGAGGTTTTATTATAAAATATTATAAAATTATATTTAATTTATCTTAATTTTACTCCGTTGTTATTAATTAATATGAATAAAATTGTTAAAATAAATTTTATTATTATTAAATATTATAACAATGATGCTAATAAAAATTATATTAATCTGTATATTTGATGTCATTTTATTTTAATTATTTATTATTTGTTAATATTAAATAAATTATTATTAGAAAGAATATTTACTATCAATGAAATAGTAAAAAAATTACTTTGAGTAAAAAATATTAATACAATTTTAAGTTAATGTATTTATAATTAGCTAGAAATAAAAGAAGGAGTATTTTAGTAAACTAACATCAAAATATGTTTTGTTTTTGATTCCGATTCCATAAAATGTGAAATGATTTTATTTTGAGTTCTTATTATTTCGATTTCTGATAATTAAATAGAGCCTAAAAATGGAGTAAACCCTGATAGATGAGTTACTATTTTTTGTACTTAATCTCTTACCTCCACCATTAACTATAATGAAATTGAATTGATAATACTATTGTGGATAGACTTTAAAAAAGATACTTTGAAATGATGCAACACTGAATCATATTCTATAAGAATCTAACTTAAGTTATTGATTGAAAAAGAGTGACAAATTTTATAGATTTGTGGATTCCTATATAATGTCCAAAAAGATGAATAGGTCGACTTAATCAAAATAAATTAAATCTTCTCTTCAAAGTATCAATTCACTTCTAATGGCAACGTCCTCCTATCCACCTCAACCACATTTGATAATTTTGGCTCTCTTTTTATAATTTATTATTATTATGATTATTTATTTTTTGGGAACAAACTTATTCCTTGTTTTTTTTTTTATCTTCTTAAAAATTATATACAAATTTTAGAGAAAAAATGATTTTTATTCTTAGTTTTATTTTCCAAATTTCCATGAAAAAAAAGAAAAGGAAAAAAAAAACTATTAACCTACAAAAAAACAATGGGAAGGGAATTCTATTCCAAAAACATTTGAATAAAAGCCTCTTGTCGGAATT